AGAGTGTGGTGTTGTGTGGTGGGGGGGGGGGGGGGGGGGGTTGGGAGTGGAGGGCAGGAAACATCCAGAGGAGCTTCCATATGAGGCTTATCTGCCTGGAATGTTCAACAGCCCGACAAACTTCCATGCTCACTCCTAGAGTCACCAATTACCACCCACTTTATTGATCACTATTTCATGTTTACTTTCCAAATTCATAAAATGGTCTTACAAAGAAAATTTAATAAGAAGGATGAAAGAAATATCTATTATTAAAACCCCATTTGTCACTCTAGCTGTCAAGTCCTAAAAGGCTATATAAAGTCTATAAAGACCGTTTTAGAAGTGAATTTTGAAGCTATGAAATTTAGCATTTGTGTCCTTGAAGGCCTTATCTCTATAAAAGCTCAAGCTGATTAACGTGAAACTTTGCTAAGATTATGCACTGTATTTAGAGATGGAAAGTACTGCTTAATGGAAAGTATGGGAAGCCTAATGGTACTTCTCTGATTCATTCACTCATTCAGCAAACATTTATTGATCACCTACTGTGCCAAGCTCTTACAGACTGTTGAGATAGATCAAGGAAGTAGGGTTATCAATACTGGGAGCGAGGGAGAGATGTAGCTTCGTAGTCCACTGACAACAAAATTCTAGTATATTTTTTCTCACTTTTACAGATATGGATAATTTTATCTAATTATTAAAATTAATTATTAAGAAAGCAAAATTGTCTTATATCACGTTAAAGCTCTTAAAGGAGCTAATATTAAATCATATTTTTTCTAATGTCAGTTTCCACATATGGTATGTTGGTTAGGAGGTCTAAAATTACTCCACAGAGAGTAATTTTCACCAGATATCTAGGACCAGAAGTATAATGTTGGCTAATACAGCTTCTGAAAATTACCAAATATAAAAAGCAAAATAATACAGAAAGCCGTTCCTTTTATTTAAAAACTGTATTTTTACATTTTCAATTCAGCATTACTTTTAATATCATTTTTTTTCATAGTGCTAATATTGGAAGTAAATGGAAAGTAAAATACCAATCTTTTTTCTCAAAATTCTTTGATTAAGTTCTTTGAAAGTAAGACTGGAAGCTACTACTTATTTTTTGCCAGAGACTTTGTTTGGGTTCTTTGACTTTAGCTAGTGATACCTTCAGGAATTGTTCTTTAAGAGTACCTTCCATATGCCCTCAAGTAACTGAAAAAGAGGGGCCACCTCATCAATGCCCTAAGCATCAAATTCCTTATGATGGATTTATGGACATAGTCATTGGAGAAAACAATAATATAGAACATTGTAGAACACTTTTCAGTTTATAAAGAACGTCCAGTCTCTTTTTATATTTGCAACAAACTTTCAAGGCAACAATCATTATAATGTTCTTTTGACTAAGACCCAAGACCCTAGGGCCCGTAATTAGAATGTGTCAAATAATTCCATGAACAGGTTTCCTGGGATTTGGGGATTCTTATCTTTCTTACACATTCTTGCCCAATTATTTCAAAAATTGGAATTATAGGAATGATATATTTTAATCGTTATTCATTAATGTACAACCTGAGCTGAGAAAACTCAGGTCCAACTCCAACATGAAAAGTACAGTCTTATACATTGGGTAATGAAAAGTGAAATGTATTATTTCTAGTGCAAGCCCAACTTTAGAAAGAGTTGGGGAAGGAGGTGGGTGGAGGAACAAAGAGAGTTAACAGCTCAGGAAATCAGTTCATAAAAGTAAGATGGTTGACACATTCCACTAAAAATGAAACACTGTGCAAGTGTTTCCCACACACTTAATCTAGTTTCACCTGGGATGCTGTCAGTGAAACAGAAATCATGAAGTCAGAATCTCAAAACCATATTATTCGTAAGGGAAAAGGCAAGTCGTAGAGATTTTAAAGTTAGTGCCAGGCACGTTGGCGTTCATACTTCTTGGGTTAAACTAACTGAAACAAGCTAAGGCTCTGTTGAGAGATGATCTTGGACTCTCCTCTGGTCTCTCCTCATAAGCCTACCCAAAACAATTGCTGAATCTTCTTATAATAATATCCTTTTATTCTGCTCTAACAGCTTGTCCTTCTCCCTATCTCCTAAGTTTTTCCACTAAAATATCCATTAAGTAAACTAAAGTTTTTGGTCATGTTCTCACCAAAGAGAAGGGAGACTAGTTCTTTAGTTCACGTGCATGAATCTCAGAACAACACAGAAAATTAATGATTTTTCAGTCAATAACTGAAATCCTTTCCATTTTTATTGTTCTCAGTAATACTTTAAGCAAAACACTTGTCAAAAGGGCACACTTAAAAAAAAATTTCTCATTGGTCCGGCAGAGAGAGCCATCCAAACTTTCTTCAACTTATTTATTGACACAGTATACAATATCTTTGTCTTCTAAATAAACTGCTGCTAGAATATTTTAATACATTCCTATAAAAATATGTAAAGATTTTATTGAATATAAAAACCATGAAAGACTGTTCTTTTCATATGAATTAATCTTCAAGCCATTGATTTTCCATGCCATCTTTTATGTCATGAACCCTACTTTCAGTGTCCCTTATCAAAGAATGAGGTATAAGTTGGCTTATAGAAATCAAGAGAGCCAGAGTGAGACATAGTATAAGAAACCAAACAATGGTGGTTTTGGCTATTCCCCTCTGTCATTTTCAGAGAAATTGAATTTTAGGCAAAATACCCAGTTTAATCCCTATAAAAGGTAATATGACTTCAAATTAAAAAAAAAAAAAATCTGAGAGCATTATGCTTGAAAAACACAAGCTTTCAAAACATTTGGAATTTGAGGCTTAGTTTTATCATTTGATTTCCTGATACTAAATCATTCATAAACTATGTGGAAATATTTATATGCTTATTTATATATTTTCAAAGAAATCCAGGTCTTTAACAAACTTTTTCTGACAAATCAACAGTTACAAACTGCCGGAGGATATGTTAGTAAATTACATGGTTCACCTTTCTCTTTTTGGAATTTATAGGATAATATATAAATTGTTTGGGGGTGTGGTTCAAGCAGGTGACAGATGGACACCAGGAATGCTTAAGGTATGAGTAACCACCATCTAAATGTTTCATAAGGAGGGAAAACGTTGGAAGGCCAAATGGAAAGGAGTCAAAGTTGGTGTGATTCCAGTGCAAGACATGAAACAGGAGGTGAGCCCAGAGGAGAACAGAAAGGAGATGAGGAAGACCAGGAAGAGGAGGAAGACCCGTACACTTCTGCTGAGATTAATGGCAATGAATATGACACGATACTGGCCAAGACGAGTACAAAGAAAAAACTGGGAAGCCGGTCATTCATTCTGAACAGACCTCCTGCTCCCACACCACGACCCACAAACATCCCTCCAAAAGAGGAAACTACACCTTATATAGCGCAAGGTAATTTGTTTTGCTGCTGCTGTTACTGTTTGTGTGTGTGTTTTTTGGGGGGTGGCCTCTTTTTGGGTGGGATCTAAAGCCCAAACGATGAAAAGCATCTTTTCGAGTCATAGGTAAGCTGTATTGGACCATTTTTAAATTTAAAAACACGATGAATAAAGAAAATAAGAACAATATATAGGGCTCTAGTTTGTAATTGTTGATTAAGGAGGATAATTTTGACAAACCATCCAAAGAGCATGAAACCATAATATGTGTGGGGAAGTGCTGTTTGATGCTTCTTCCATAATTCTGTAAGAGGGAAGCTCAACACCTGTGAATAATGTGCAACACACGAAGAGAAGGTAGGTGCGTTACTTTTTGCCCCTCATTCCATTTAAGATAACTTTAACCTAAACAGTTTTGAGTACTACAATCTTAGATATGCAACCCCAGTTCCTCTGATAATTGCACTTCACCCCAATGATGAAGATTCACTTCATCCATGATAGAATTTCTACTTCATTTTAGACTTCACTTCTCCTTTCTCATCTCAGTTAAATCTGAATAAAAAATAGCAAATCCCTAGAGCTTTTTTATATCTGTAACCCCAGCAGGATATACTGACTCTGCTGTTCTTTCCTAACACTCCTGTATTCTCTGGTTTGGTGCACTCCATGAGTCCCTAGTGTCTAAGACATGAATTTTATTCATCAGTGTATCGCAGGCACATGCACTGAGTGTCTTTGGGGGTTAAGGTACCATCCTAGAGACTGAGAATGTGGAATAAAACAATGTCTGCATCCTTGAGGAGTTCTAGGCAACAGCTATGCAAATAAATATACAGTACAATTTGACCCTTTATTAGAGATTTTTGAACAGAATGTTTGGAATCCAACAAATTTTGGGGTGACAACTAAAGCTGAGAGGCAATATATTATACATTCAAATAGCCTAAACCGGGTACCCAAACAGAGTATTTCAATATATACCACAAATCCACTCAAAAAGAACAGTTACTCATCTGTGCTTAACATGTTCAAAAGAAACTATTCTACTGTTTAAGCGGTATGTGTTGAGAGGTTTGTATAAGAAAATTTAGCAAGTTTTTTACCAATGTACTAGATACCTACTTAACAGGGATCTACTGCTGATAATGTTCAAGACCCCATTATAAAAAAGGAAACAATAACAAATTAATAAAGGTTTCAGCTAAAATAAAATGTCAGCTGGAACAATTATCTAGATTATTAAGGGAGGGAATAAGCTGTAATTAGAACTTCTCAGATTGTCTACCATAGTGGCTCTAGGATATTACAGTCAGGCCTTCATATCCGTGGATTCCACATCTGAGGATTCAACCAACTGCACATAGAAAATATTCAATAGAAGAAAATTCCAGAAAGTACCACAAAGCAAATCTGCCTCCAGGGCAACTGCTTACATAACATTTATATTGTATTTACAAATATTTTTATAGCATTTACATTCCATTAAGTATTATAGGTAATCTAGAGTGACTTAAAGTATATGAGAGGATGTGCAGAGGTTATCAGCAAATACTATACCATTTTAGAAAAGAGACTTGAGCATCTGCAGATTTTGGTATCGGGGGAGGGAGGTCCTGGAACCATTTCCTTGCGGATGCCAAGGGACAACTGTACTAGCTCTGTGACAGGGTTACTAAATCCCAATAAATAAATTTGAAGAGGGAAGTTAGATATATAACTCAATAAAAGAATTTAGTTATATTCTGGAAATTTTTGAAGAGGCACATCATCTTCTGTATCTCAATCTCTAGAGAGTTCTCAGGACCACAATATAGACTCCCATGTTGCGTTTCTCTGCGTTTTGCTCTGTATCTTGTAATCCTTCTATCAACTGTCATATTATTTTCCATGAGTGCATTCTTGTTTTCCATTTGTTCTTGTTCTATATCATTCTTTTCTCTTTCTTTAATGGTGGTGCAGGCAATGAAGTTCAATATCTTTGTCATGGCTTTTGTTTCATTTTGCTTTGATTTGAGTTTTTAAATTTCTGCGATTTTTCTTTTCCTTTAGTTCTCATATTGTCTGTATTATCTTTGCTTGTTGTTTGTTTGTTTCATCTGGAATGCTTGATACCCCCATAAAATATGGGACTATTCTTAGCGATGCTTTCATGTTTAAGAATGAAGCACCAAAAATCTGAATGAAAACTCTACTTGCTAACTTGTGGACTGCACTGTAGGGTAATGAGGTAACCAGCTTTTTCACTGAATTACCCCAAAGTGTTAGTTTAGATGGATCTATTCTCTACGTTTTTCAATATTTCTAGAATAAATTCCAACTAACTCTAACCTACGTTTATATACCTGGTTGCCAGCACACTGATGTCAGAGTGTGGGAAGAAGACTGGGAACTTTCACCACTCAGAGTAGTGCACTATTTAACCTGTTCTCCCTGTGTTCAGTCCACTGTCTGACTCCTTCCACCCACTGTGCCTTGTGTGCCACGGTCAGAATTACTTCTATTCAGTTTCTCCAAGAACAAACTGTCCATCATAGGTGATTTGCCTCTTTTCATTAGAGAAGGAATTAGGGCCAAGGACTGCTTTAGACTGTCAACCAAGCCCCATATTAAATAAGAGAATTGAGATGGTTTTCCTCCTCATTCATATATTTATTAATTACATAAAGATTTATTGAGTACCAAATGATAAAGTCTTTCTGTGTGTTAATTATGTAAATCCCCTACATAACAGTGGTACAATTTGTCATTACACACACACACACACACACACACACACACACACACAGGAACTTTAAAGAATCTTAGAAATCTTGAGTTTCTAAGAACTTTTAAAGGCTATTTATCTCATCCCAAGCCCAACACCCTTCAACATTTACAAGAAATCTTTCATTCAATTACACAGTCTAATTTGTTCTCACAACATTTGTGTTATATGCAGACAAGAATCCGTGTTACATTCTGTGATTTTGTTTTTGTTTTTGTTTTGCACCTAAGTATATAAAAGCACATATGGTTATTTTCTCCATATTTCAGATTAGTAGCAAAAACTGAACTGTAAATGAGATCATCAAAGTCCCTTTCCATTATTTCTTCCTTTTCTCTTTCACTGGAATATACTTGCTTGCTTCTTCCTTTTATGCTATTGATTGTTGATCATTCTGTGCTCATATTAGGAAAACATTACCTCATCAGCCAATTCTTTTGTGATGTTCTTTGCATTTCACAGGGTAAATATCTTTAATCACGGCTTCCTTTTTTCTTTCCTAGCTCAGGCAAATCTATTAAATAGAATATACACCATTTCCCAGAAAGCCATGCATTCAATTAGAAGAACGTTAATTTACCCCAATTCTTGCCGGAGCACAGAAGTTGTAGCAGAATGCTGGCACATCCAGGGTGTGTTACAGTAGCCAGAAGAGGATGTGGAGTAGGGGATGGAAAAAGAATGCAGGATAATCCCAACTTACTATTTCAGAAACTCAAGAAAGTTATAGTAAAGTGACTAGGCAAATAAACCAGAGAGATACAGGAAAATCATGTTGGCTTTTGTGAGATAATGGGATATAGATAGATAGATGGATAGATACACACACATATATATATATATACTGCATTACATATATATATAT